GAAGATGTTGTCTTCTTAACCAGAGTGGTGGTTCGTTAGCTTCACAGTACATACTTTGAGCTGGGCTAGATCTGAAGGCACCTAAGCAGATCCTAAGACCCGTATTGTGTACGGAATCAAGAGCTTTCAGATATGACTTGTAGGCAGACATATGGACAAAACTACCATAGTCTATTTTGGAGCGAATAATCGATTTATAAACTGCAAGCAATACCTCTTCGTCGGCTCCCCATTAAAAATGTGCTGAACTTTTTAGGATATTATTATTTTTTAAGCAGTTGCCTGTCGTTTCCTGTATGTGTATATTCCAAGTAAGTCTGGAGTCGAAGGTCAGTCCTAAGACTTTATGATGATTAATAACATCTAGTAATACTCCGTTGTATGTCAAAATTGGATTATCTTTTGTCGTTTTCCTGCTAAATTTCATGATTTAGTTTTTTGAGATGAAAAGGAGAGCCCAATATGACTAGACCACCTTTCTATATTATCAATGGCTGTTTGCATTAGTCGACAGGTTGTTTCGGTATTCTTTCCTCTGCAAAAGAGTACAAGGTCATCAGCATATAATGCGTGTTTAACTGGAGGATGAATACTTTTTCCTACATCATTAAATGCCAAACTAAATAAAGTTGTGCTTCTAATAGAACCTTGTGGTACTCCATTATATTAAATACGAGTAAATCACAGCTTAATGTTTAAAATAACTTTAAAAGTTCTATCAGCTAAAAAATTCTGCACAAAGTAGTATATGTTTCCACCAATTCCACATTGTTGAAGATTTTGGAGTATTACAGATTTTTAAACAGTGTCAAAGGCTCCTTTTACATCAAAGAAGGCTGCTAATAAATCTTGTTTACAGGCCATAGAGTCGGAAATATCTGATTGTAAAATTACCAAATTATCTGATGTAGAACGATGAGATCTAAAAGCGGATTGTGCCGGTAAAATAACTCTATTTTTTTCCAAAAACTAGACCAATCTCTTGTTTACTTTTTTCTCTATTTTCTCCATTAATTTACACATGGTGCACGTCAGCGATATTGGCCTATATGAATTAGATAGACTTTGTGTTTTGTTATGAACTTTTTTAATTGGTATAATATATGATTCTCGCCACCGCTTAGGAAAGTTATAACTGTTCCAAATACCATTGTAAAATTTTAATAAAACAATGATGCAAGGAGTCGATAATTTCTTTAAGAATATGAAAGGAATGTCATCTGGGCCAAAGGCTGTGTTTTTACACAAATCGAGTGCCATCACTAGTTCCTCCAAGGTAAATGGTGTGTTAATAAGATCGATTTCTTGTACAGTTTTTATTGTCGAGGCCTTTCCAGTTAATGTGCCTGATGATGTGTTAGGTGAATATTGTCTTTTGGATTTTTGTTTAAACGTATCAGCTAGTAAATTGGTAATGCGTTGTGTGTCATTGGTAACGTTGTTTTGATAACTTATACTTTGAATACCAAAACTTGTGTTACGGCCCTGCATTTGTCGCATTTTCGTCCATACTTGGGCAGAAGGTGTGTTGGTTTTAAGTGATAAAGTATGTTCTCTCCATGAAATGTTCTTGTTTTCTTTTAGCACATATTTTGCTCTGGCCTTTAGTTTTTTAAATTGTACAAAATCTTCGTTATTTCGAGTTGGCTGTGTACATTTTCCAAGTATTAAGTATATCGCTAGGGTCCGTTATTAGTTCATTTTGGTCATTATGTATACCAGTGACTTGTTTTTTCTTGAAGACACCAGCAATTTCCTAAATTTTCTTGTGAAAATTGAAGCTGTCGCCTAGTTTATATAGGATTTCAGCCTCAGTGCAAAGTGTAGTCTTCCAGGTCTCCTTTGCCGCTATAATTTCTTTACGAATTTTATTATGTATATTTCGGTACCCTGCTTAGTCCTGCATAATCTTACACTGCCTGCGTTCCATAATCTCTAATATTTCTTCTGTCATTCACTCGTTCTTGGTAGTTGTTTTACTCTCGAGTAGAAAAGTGTTGTTCACCTCATCAAATGATTCTTTTATGATGGTCCATGACTTTTCAACATCATCCTCTTCACTTGTTTCATTGTTTTTGAGTTTTCTAATGTTTACTGATGCCCTCTGGTGTTTTCTTTTAGCTGTAGCGAACCTTAGTTTAATATTTGCTACTAAGGTATTGTGGTCGGATCCTATGTCTCCTCCAGGTAATGCATATACCTTAGTAATAGCATTCCTGTACCTTCTATTATGTGTCACATAATCTATTTGGTTCCTTATAATGCTCTGATGTCCGTCTACAGACGACTGTCCCCTCTGTCGTTTCTCTGACCAAGACCATATTTTCCAACTACGTGGTCTACGGCTTCTTCCCCAATTTTTCTTCGCTCTAGTTCTTTTTGTAGCTTGTCTGCTGTGGGGACTTGTCTGTGGTGAGGGTCTGTGCTACCACTGCATGAATAGTAAAGGGCTTTACCAGTAGTATTGGTCATACCTGTGCCTTACCATCGCAATTCGCTTATGCCGAGAATATCGATGTTAATTCTGTTTATTTCCTGAATTAGATTTTGTAGTTTGCCTGCTGCAAATAAGCTTCTGACATTCCACGTAGTAATTTTGGTTATCTTATCAACTTGAAACCGGGAGATTCTTCGCACTTCTTGGCCATTTATGGCCTGCCCGGGACTAGGGGCCGTTTGTTTTGTTTCTTTCAACATGACAAGAAAAAATCTACGGACGGATGTCCTGAGGAATATAATGCGGTAGTTTCCTACTTGCTTTCCACATCGCAGTACCGTAGCCGTTTCCGTACATCGCAGTAATAAAATAGTAATGTTGATCAAAGTATGAAATTAATAAATTCTTAATGGATATACTCACTACTCAGTGCAGGAAGTTTAAACAGCCGAGTGGGTCCCCTACGAGGTGAACTTGTAATAAAATTTTTAAAAATAACTTTAAATTTAGTACAATTTAAATTAATTTAAGTATTGAGACAGTGAGAGTTTCCATTTGTTTCCTTTGTAATCTCCAAATAATTTTTCTTTCTACTAATGTCATGTAAAATAGATGAATCCGTATTGATGTTAAAATTGTGCTTACTGGATAATAAGTGTTGATCAAAACTTGAAGAGTTTGGTCTTTTCAAATGTTCTGAAACTCTAGTGGAACTTTCTAATGGTTCTACCTACATAAGAGGCATCACAATCATTACATTTTAATTTGTAAATACCACTTTTGTCAAGTGTGTTCATCTTATTTTTGGTGTTAATTAAAAAGGAACCTTAAGTGTTGTGTGACTTAAAGGAAATTTTGATGTTTTCAATTGTAGAAGTGAAAAGTTTGGATATTTTATTGGAAATGTTGCTAATATAAATGAAGAAGAAATATCGATGTTATTTGAAGCATTAGGTAGAAAAAAACATTGTAATGAATAAGCAAGCTTTTCTGCAATGTTGAGTTTAGGTCTATTAAGAAGCTTATAGGTAATATTGGGATCATAACCGTTATTAAAAGCAATTTGCTTAAGAGTATTAAGTTCTAAATTAAAGTTATCGTTAGAAAGTGGAAATTTGATTAACCTATGAATGTAACTGTTTAAAGGAGCCATTTTATGTTGGGTTGGATGATTAGATGTTTCATGTATAACATGATCTGTTTTTGTAGGTTTTCTGTAAATATTATAGTATAGAGAATCTTTATTACGTGATATAGTCTTATCCAAGAAGTTCAACTTTTTGTCAGATTCTGGTTCCAGAGTAAAAGAGATGTTATAATGGAGGTTATTAAGATCATCCAGAATCTGTAAAGCGTCATCTTGGGTTCCCTGTATGAGAGCTATACAATCATCAACATATCTGTACCAAAAAACTATTTTGCTGTTGTTAACAAATTTCTGTTCTAAACTGTCTAAGAAAATATCAGCTAGAAAAGGTGATAATGGAGGTCCCATTGCTAAACCTGTTGGTTGTTTATATATTTTTAGATTAAATTGGAAGAAGTCCTGATCAAGACAGAATTTAAGCGTAGTTAAGATAGCATCTTTGTCTTTTGCTGATATGTTGCAATTGTTCAGAAGGTTGTGTACTAAAGGTAATGTTTCATCTCTTGGTACAGATGTAAACAAATTGGAAACATCAAAAGAAACTAAATAAAAACTCTCCTTCATTTTAAAGTTATTTAAACGTTTTATTAGATCTAAAGAAATTTTAATGAAGAATTGTGAATTGTGTTGTAAATAAACTCTGATAAAATAGAAACTTGAGTGTTACAAAAACTTACTACAGGCCTTATGGGACAATTGTGTTTATGGATTTTAGGAAGTTCATATAACCTAGGTGTTATAGGATTTGATAAAGTAAACTTTCTGTTGTTATATTTTAGTAACAGTGTCATTAAACAGTTTAACCATTGCTTTTGTTTTATTAATAAAGGTGTTAATTGGATTTTTTCCAAAACTATATAACTGTTATCTTAAAGAAAAGATTCTACTTTCTGTATATATTGAATTTGTTCCAAAATTACAACACAATTTCCTTTATCAGCCTTGCTGAGTACAAGATAATCTCTATCAATATTTCGTTTAATCGATTTTAGCAAATACTTTTATTTTTTTTTAAAGTATGGTAATTTCTATGAAAATTACGTTTATACTTAAGTTAAGTTACGTTAAGTTAAAAATAACTGGATACCGGAGTGTGACATGATATGAAATTTAGGGTCGAAAACAATGACATAATTCTTCTCGTAAAAATTGTTTAAAATTGTTTCGTTATTATTCTGTCGGTATTCTAATAATAAGAATATTAAATTTATTATCTGTTTATAATGTTACTTATATTATTTTCAGAATGTCCCATCGGATCTTCCGATAATAAGAGAATTTCTGGTTACCACAAGGGTATCTAACCATTTTGCGGAAACTAGTGTTACTAGCCAAGTGGAGAACCCAGACACTTATGCAAAGCAAACAGCTTTTTCTGTGGTTCTACCAGACAAAGCTTTTATTTCAGGGTTTTCTATGGAAATTGACGGAAAAGAATATAAGGCTTTTGTGAAAGAAAAGGATATAGCTACTAATATTTTTGATAAGGTATGATATCCTGGAAAGTTTTAGTTTCTTGCTAGTTGTTTAATTGCCCTTTCTTGAATGAACTACAAGTTTTTATTTTGTCACAATAAACTAATAAATAAACCAATGGGTCCGTATGAGAACAGGAAATACTATCAAATTTAAGATAGTTAAGACTAAGGTATTTTCCATTTAATCACTAACAAGTTCAAATGTTTTTATCTGTTTGATTCTTTTATTAAACATTCAGACGTTAAGAAGTCCAGGCGCTTCGGTAATGGTGTGGTTTTGAAGTCTCTCCTGATGAGAATTCGTTGATTTCTTGTGTAAGTATTAAATACTATTAAAAGGTATTTCAGAACTTAAAGAGACACTCTGAGATTAAATTTAAACATTTGATTTAAAGTTGGCAATTATAATTCGATCAACATCATCGAGATATATTTTGAATTGAATAGGTACTGATTAAAAGAATTAATTGTTTGCTATATTCAATTCTTGAAAATTCTAAAATCAGTAACTGGATATAAATTTAGATAAAATGTCATCATCATAATAATATATAAGTTAATTATTAAATTAAATAAACAACCAATTTTAAAATCTACCCTATTATCCGTTCACAAATTGTTGATAGCACGAAATGTGCCTCAGTCATAAAACGGTCGTAAAATTTGTATCATCATAGGCGTTCCTGAGGTGTTTATTCATTAAAATTAATATTATTATTAATAATGTTTCAATACTAATATATTTAGCAAAAAACAATTAAAACTTTCACGGCTAATGTTGGTTATTATATTATATTAATAAAAATAAGAATTTACCCATTAACAATTTTGTAAATAAGAATACTTTATCTCTTTGGATATTTCAATACTAATCTTCGTTTTTAATCCGAAGGTACTATTCGTTGCAAGATAATTAGGATGGAATTCCCCAAATTTTTAATAATTTAAGGGATATAAAGATGCCGGCTTTGGCCACGTGTCTCGTCTGTTCAACGAAAACAATTTTTTGTTTAGTACGTTTTTGATCGCATGTAATTTACGGCTCGTCGGTTTTCCGCGTCTACTGCAGTAATTAGCGTCTCGAATATTTCTTTTGGGAATTATATGCAGTGCGTGAGTGATTTTTTATTCCATATACCTACGAACATATACGTACCTTTTGCTCGTGCTCGTTTTTTTAGATTGTTTGTGATGGCTACATCATCTACATCATCACGTTTTACATCGGTACTGTTAAGTACAGTCAGTAAGTCTGTCTATTCACCAAGAGAGAAGAGTATTGTCCTGAATGTTCACGATGCTCTGGTTTCTCAGAATCCCAAAAACACTGCTCGCAACATAGTCGAAAGTTGTGCCAACATGACTGGCGTAGGGGAGTCAACTATATATAGGTTCCTATCAGAAAGAAAAAACACGATGTAGCTAACCCAAACACAAACGAACACTTAAAGAGAGGGAAAAAGCCTATTGAAATTGATGAATTTGCCAAAAATGGTATTCGGAGGAAAATTCATGGATTTTTTTTCAAAAAAGAAATATTAAACCTAAACAAAATTTTACAAGAAGTTAGTTGTGGCAAGTTTTAAAAGATAATTCTTTTCCGGTGGGAGAAATCAGACTGAAAATCACTTTTGATTGACCGGGAGGAAATACGTGGGTAAACTCAGGTCATACTCTAAAAGAAATTTGGTCAGATAAAAATATATTAAGCTTCAGGCAAGCCTTTATGGAAGGTTGGTCTACTGGTATCTCCGCACCTTCTAGTAGAAGCAGTAGATTAATAATTTCTCACATTTGCAGTGAAAAAGGATTTGTTATGCATGGTTTGTTGAAATTTCAGTCCAAACACACAAAAGACTATCACGAGGAGATGGCAGCTGATGTTTTCGAAGAGTATTTTGAGCAGATGATTAAACACATACCACCCAATTCAATTATAGTCTTAGATAATGCACCTTATTATTCACGACTAGTAGAAAGACTTTCAACGACTGCGTGGAAGAAACAGGATATTCTTGACTGGCTGCGGAATAAGTATCTGCCTTACAAAGATGGAATGGTAAAAGCAGAACTTTTAAAAATTGCCTGGCAACACAAATCTAAGTTTAAGAAATACTTAGTTGGCAAAATGACGGAAAGGCGAAACATCACAGTTCTTAGACTTTCACCCTACCACTGCGAAATAAACCCAATTGAACTCATTTGGGCACAAATGAAAAGTTATGTGGCTAGAAAAAATACGTCATATAAATTACAAGCTGAACGTGAATTGTTATACGAGTCTTTATAATATATTACAGAACAAAACTGGAAAGATGCAGTAAGACATGTAATAGAAGAAGAACAAAAAATGTGAGATCTTGATAACATAATTGATGCGACCGTAGAGACACAACCGCTAATTATTAACCCTCAAGATGACTCGAATTCCGAAGTTGATCCTATTTATTTTGAATTTGAATAGTTTTCTAATCGTAATTATATAAGGCAAGTAATAGTAGTTGTAATCGTAAGGTATTAAAGGGGAAATGCGCAAAATGTCGCCTGTCAAAATGTTCAATGTGTTTTAAAATTGTATCCATTTTTTTTAAATCCTGAGAACCCTAAAAAACATTTTTGAAAAATTTAAAGGCAAAGTGAAATATTTATTAGAATAAATAAAAAGTTTCTTTTGCATGCAATATTCTCAATTAAAAATTATACTATATTTTTTTTATTTTCACCCCTGCTACAAACATATTAAAATAAACATTGTAGAAGTTTTCAGTTTTCAGTGACTTTCTGCCCTCAGTAATAATGTAATCTTTTATTCTGCGTTTAAATGTTTCAAAAATTTTTATTAGATTTCCTCGGATTCGAAAAGAATTAATACATTTAAATCACATTGAAAATTTTGCCAGGCGACATTTGGCGCCTTTCCCCTTAATTAAATAAATATATCTTTTACAAATGGCAAGAAACTTTTTATTTTTGAATAAAACAAAAAAGTTTTATTAAAACAAAAAGACAATTTAAAAAATACATTTAGTTAGTTTAAATAAATGTTTCAATCATATACTCTACGACACTGGTCGGTCATCTGTAACCAAAATACTTTCGTAATCGGATTATAAGGTTGACTGCTGTATTGTATTCCTTAAGATACAAGGTGGTTTAGCCGAAAACATCTTAAACCGTCAGTTTCAATTTGGTTTTTACTATTATATCGTATTACCTATCCTCTCCGTATTTGAGTTCTCAAATTAAGGTTAAACTTGTTGTGAGCTATAGACAAATTATGAACCGATTTATGGTCATTTCTTTACCCTGATGACTTTTCTGTACTGAATTGATTGTTAGTTAAATTGTATTTATGAGTAAGATCAGTAAGTTTTTTACAGCAACTTTTGAATGTAAGTATCTATACTCTGAGAAATTAGAAAATGTGTTAGAAAAACTGTCATTATATTTACTCAAATAAATAGTATGCCTTAGCGTACATCTCTTAAGGTATGCAATTTTATTTTTTTTGATGTATTGGGAGGGAGAGTATAAGCTTAAGTTCAAGTTTGTAGGGTAGCCACCCTTGTCCCCCGGCCATCATCTTGGAAAAAGAGGGGACAGAGTTTTCTCTACCTACTTAACTATTCCTACCTACGAAAAATTTTATCAGACATTATTTGTAAAAAATTATATTGTCTACAACTTTTCTATTACTTACTTTTCTTTACTTTTGATTTATTTCTATTAATTTTAATCGTAAAATGATAAAATAAAAAAGTTATAAACAAAAATAACAAAAATTGTAAAAAAAAAATTTCTTTTGTGAATTATAACTTTTTTCTGATTGTTTTACAATAAAATTACATCATGACAATATCATAGAGAATTTTTCGTAGAATAATTTTTATTTAAAGTCCGTTTAATTTCATTAATTTCTCTGGATTATACAGCGCCCCGAAGTTGGCTGGGTTCTTAAATACTCGTCATCTTTGAATACTCGTGGTGCAAAGGGTTTTCGCGCTGTATATCGTATACTAACAATTCTACAGAAAATTTTGTGAGACATTATTTGTAGCCATTGTCTACAAATTTAGTTCCATTACTTTTTGTGGTAAAATGGAAAATAAAAAAGTTATATACAAAAATTTAAATATAATAATAGTCATCTTAATAATCATCCTAACCGACCATCTTCCTTACTACCTATACCTTCCCGACTGAATACTGGAAAATGACAACTACAAGCTATGCTGGGACCGCACTGTGCAAACAACACTTGTGGCAATACCTATCAGCAATAATTTGCGTGTTAAATATAACGAAAACATCGCTAAGTTAGAGATCTAGAAATACAAATCAGGAGACCATGGAGAATGTAAAGTACCAGATAATACCTATTATTCTATCTACTACTGGTGTTATTCCCAAAATCCTAGTAGCGAACATAAAACAGCTGGATCTACATGAACATATTTATAAGGCCATATAAAAAGCTGTATTACTCGTGACGTCCAGATGTGTGCGAAAATTTTTGGGAGATACTTTAACATAACTCGATAACACGGAAAGAGTCCCACCGGAGCTTAATCCTTTTGATACCGTAGGTATCTGGGATGAGTGATTTTTACCTTAGAGGGAGTATAAGCCGTCTGGCTAAATCTAGAATAATCAGTGGTAATAATAAGCCCATTACTGTCAGATATTTTTATGGATCATCTAGAAACAAAGATTTCAAAACATTCCGTATTCAAATCGTTTTTATATTGATGGAGATACGTGAAGGATGTACTGGTAATACTGGTATACTTTACAGGAACGAACAGACAACTTGACCAATTATTAGCTTATATTAATTCGTTCCTTAGTCATATTGAATTTACAATAGAAACAGAACAGAATTAATCCTTAAATTAAACATTATTAGAGGTGAAAACAAACATGAGTTTTCCATATTCCATAAACCAACCTATACTGAGACGACTATACACAATTCATCATGCGATTCTATACAAAATAATTTTGGCAGCACATCAGAGCATGTTACATAGATTAATCGAAATTCCCATATCAAAAAACCACTTTGATATGGAATTGAATATCAGTTAGCAGATAGCAGTAAACAACGGCTACAACAAACACACAATAAACAAAATTTTAAACCAAGAACTGCATAGGAAAGCCGGAAACTAGTCTCTCCACCAAGAGAGAAAAATACTTAGTACACTCTGCTCGATTGCATATTATACAGGTAAGATATCATGAAAAATAACAACTTTTAGAACAACAATAACTTGAGCAAATATATTAAGCAAAATAAAGACCTTAACCTACCATTTTCAAAATCTATGGAAATTAGGAAGTTATTAAATGCAGATAAAATTTTGTATGACCAACTTGAGACAAACAGTTCTCCTCTCCTCAACTCATTCAGTTAAAGACTATAAAGTGTTAAAATTGCGTGTCTCAAAAATGTAATTCTATTGTACCTTTTCAATGGGCTATAGTAATATTTTTGTAGTTATATTTTTCTAACAAATTTTTATATTTTAAATATGAATTTTGAACTGAATAACTGGTTGACATAACATTTGTATATGGAGATGCCTTAGAAACCATTTACTAGCTTCAAAAGTGTATAGTCAAGTATATCTGCGTAGAAGACATACTTCAAAAAGAGCATTTAAAACACTTTTAAACCACTTTGTTCCTTCGGACAATGTGCAGTCTTTAAGAAAAATAATATCAGTAAGGGTGAAGCCAATAAAAATAACCTTCAAGTTATGTTACATGTAATAAAGAATCCACAAATAATTACGCGCCAATTAAGTAATAATACAGAGTTAAGTGCAGCGACAGTTCGAAGAATTATAAAGAAAAACAAAGTTGACTCATTTAAACTTCAGTTGCATCAGTTGGATCAGGAGTAAATGAAAATGATTTTCAGAGAAGAATGGATTTTAGTATGTGAGAGAAAGAAGTGTTAACCGATCAAAATCTTCATCTATTTTGGGTCTGTTACATGTGAACCAAATGTCGACATTAATATTCGTATTTATAACAAACATATAGAACCAGTACAAAGATTCCAGTATCTTGGTTGCTGGATAACAAACGATCTTGACCACGAGGTTGAAATATATTATGCTCGTATAGAATATGCTAGACCCACATTTAAACGAATGAAAAAATTCCTAATAAACTCTACGATATCCGATACCAATTTGTAAAAACGTTTATTTATTCCATATTGCTATACGTAGTGGAAACATGGACTCTCGGAATTACAAGTATGAGGTGTATAGAGGCCTTTGAGATGTGAGTTTTTCGAAGGATGCTGAAGATCTCTTGGACAGAGCACATGACCAACAACGAGGTGCTAAGAAGAATGTGTACTGGGAGACAACTGAAAAATATTGTAAAAAACAGAAAAACGAGTTATCTAGGACATACTTACAGAGAAGAAAAATACAACTTCCTACGACTTATAATGGAAGGAAAAGTGGAAGGAAGATGCGGTCCAGGAAGAAGAAAATGCTCCTAGTCGAAGAATGTAAGAGACTGGACAGGCATGAGAACAGCTCAAGATAGAAAGCAATTTGCTGTAGTTATAGCTAACCTTCAGTATTGGAGAAGACACCTTAAGAAGAACCAATTTTTACTAGCGTACGTTTTATGTAATTTTTTATATTTCGAATTATTATATGTTAGGTTAAGTTTATAAAATTAGGTTATAATTTTTATAATTTTTGTTTGTTATATATTAGTTGGTACATTAGTTTGTTATATATAAATTTATTAATAAAAAATCTATCAAAACGTAAAATCTATAGTTCCTCTCTATATATCTACAAAACAACATGCTAAGTATACACAACCTATATTAAAAAAAAGGCTGTAATATTATTTACAAAATGAATACTAACATACTGGTTGCCCGTTTAAAAAAAATGAGAAAAGTTTGTGTTCGAAAATACTCATCACGCTATATGTTGTATGGCTAGATGTCAAAGATAATAAATTGTATAAAAATTTATTTTTTATGACGGTTTATTTAAAGAACTTAGAATGACATCTCTATTAAAAGTAATAATAGTAACAGTAGCAGTAGAATGAATGATGTAAAATCCATCCTGATGATTAACTACGACTTCTTCTTGACTGGCTTTAAAAATCGGGGTGAATCTTCGTCACATCTACTATAGCCCTCCTTCTTCTACGATCTTGTGCTTCTATTTTCCATTGTTGTACTTCAAACCTAGATAAATCGGCTTGAACATCATCCTTCCATTTTTTTCTGGGACGGCTTACTGATCTTCTACTGTCTGAATTCTGAAAAATTATTGTATTTAGCACTTTTTCTTTCTCTGATTTTCCCACATGACCTGTCCATCTTATCCGGTTAGTTTTTTATGTTTGACGATATTTTCAATACCATACCAATTCATACATTCAGGATTGCCGCGCCTTCTCCACTCTCCTGTCAATTCATGTCTTTGAGGGCCAAATATTATTCTGATAACCTTTTTTTCAAATACCAGCATCTTATTTATATCCCGGTAATGTTTCACTTTCATATATGTAACAATTGGGCGATTCATTGACACATACAGTCTTAATTTATTTGACATTTTGCCACAGGCAATAGTTTCTGTTTCGTGGCTTCAAATTTTTATATATACGGGACGCCGGACCATAGCACAACCACCTTTTCCTAGACCATTTCACCCACACTTGTCAGTTTCCGACTTAACTTTCTACTTGGATTGGATACCGGATCTCCAGTTGGGTTGCTTGGTTTAACAGGACGCGCCAGCTTTAAGATGAGAGTCAGATTTGAGTATAAGACTCTAAGTGGAATAAACTGGAATCAACTCCATGTTATCGTACTCTACTCCTACTACCTCTTATTACGACTATTACTTGTTTAATAATATAATATTGCCCCAGTATATGAGAAATAAGTCGATACTCACAATCTTAAATAGTTTTCAAGGCTTTTAATATCTATCCTATCGTCAGGCCCCAGTACATTAGTCTTATATTTAATAAAATCTACAAGATATCATATTCAGGAAAGCTCTATAAATTAAAGTACTTCTGAAAACCACCTTCCTCTCAAGAAATCCATTTATTTTAACCCCGGAATGTATATCGTTTTTATTTTATGTAGTGTAGTGTACATCTCGATACATAGTGGCATAACATACATAAAATAAAAAAGTTACACATTTTGGGGTTAGAGTGAATGGATTCCTTTGTAGCATTTGCAAATTCATTGATTCTTTGGTATATATTGGAATCCCCTCGTATGTGTATTAAATTGAAATCCCCTCATATATGAATTAAAATAACGAAGAATTTTTTCCACGTTTCTCTGTTCCTTTCGTACAAATTAAAACCCAAATATATTTTCAATTCATCTTAGCGTTACCGAGGTCAAAAAAAACCATTTTATAGTTTGTTTATGTTTCACAGAGGCGTAATTTCCTCGATATTTCTTTATTCGAAGCCGACTTGTAATTTTTGGACGTCGAAGGAATAGGATATTTTACGTTTCCGTTCTCGTTGTGTTTTGTTTAGTCGGCAAGTTTTTTTGCCGGCAAGATAATTAGTCATTCTCATTAGGATCACTACCAGAGGTAGTCGATTTTAGTGTGGGTCCAAATGTTTCATCAAAATTGTAATGTATTCGTTGTTCGTTCTTTTTTCTCATGGAAAATGTGTAGCAGTATAATGTATTGTGGCAGTTAATGGTCCAGTTAAAGTTTTAAGTGAGGATTGGAAAAATCGTCGTTTCCATCCTAGTTTTTTTTCCCTGGTTGTCATCCCAGGCTTTTTGGCATTATGGAGATAAATTTGTTTGTGTGTTCGTATCCAGAGAGTTCAACCCCAGTTATATTTAAAGTTACAGAAAATTCAAGGTGTGGGCTAACCCCAGCTAACCCTTTATTGAGTTTCATTTGAGAAATATATGTTTTACATTTCTAATAATTATTTCCCTTGTTACAACTAGCTGTTGTAATAGTTATAATTTGGCACCTCGAAGCGGCATCCTTTTTAAATTTTTAGAGGTGTTTCCCTTTGTTTTGTTTGTCCCAATAGATTCATGACCCTTTGTTTAATTTTTCTGTAGTTTCCCCAATCCGACCCCTTATCATATACTTATCCACGAACTCAGCTCTCCAAACAAACCTTGAGTGCCATTCGCACACGCAGCGTTTATTTTGCTTGTCCTAACTCCACCCCCATAGTTTCTGTCCCCAATTATCTACCCCTAATAGTAATACCCAATGCGGTAGGCAAAATAATTCGTTACACCTTGAGAAGAAAAGTAGTTTTCAGGAGTACCATAATTAATAGAGCTAACCTGATATCTTGTAGTTTTTAATATAAATAAGACTAACGTATGATGATGGAAAAATTATTATAAGCCTTAAAACCGGTAGCCCAACATCATCAAAAACTACTTAAGATTGTGAGTATTTCCCATATACTGGTATTATGGACTGACATTAGCAATCTTTTTGTCAATATATGACTGCATTGCCCATTTGTTTTTAGTCTGCAACGGCAGGACAGTCGTCTGCTGGATATGTTGCTGTGAGCATGAAAAATTCGAACAGATTTACTGTTACGGTCAATATAGAACCTTTAAGCAAGATTCTCTTTAAATTAAATTATGAAGAACTATTACACAGAGAAAATGGACACTACGAAATTATCACCAACATTCAACCTGGTCAAATTGTTAAAAAAATAAAGGTCATGGTAAGTGTTATCATTTTAATAACTTATGGATTAATGGAATAATGAGACGATTATTGATTGGTAACGTGCAAGACGAAATTAAAAAATTTTATAAAATTTGTTTAAAATATAAAATATATTTTATTTATATATTTAATAAAATAAAGATTTTTCATACTTACGTAACATAGTTGCTTATAAAGCATGAATATTTGGGTTTCAGTTGATTTAAAATACCATACAGTGTAGGTAAAAGTTTATGGTCGGTATGTACCTTACGTGAGATGAAGTGAGAAACACCTATTTAAAAAGAGAGAGGTATATTAGGTCCGCCCTTTATATCGTCGAAACTGCATTAGTGAAACTAAGAAACGAAGAGAAGTTCAACGTTGCCAAACTTGGTTTTATTTGACCTGTTGTCTTTTTAGCATTTTAACAACGTTCTAAGATAATCAAATTTGGACAAAATGATTTAAATGGCAGCTTACTGTTTTTTTTTTATTTTAAATATGCCACAATTTTCCTTTACAATAAGTTTAATTTAACATTTTGATTTCCACTTCGAAAATCGTTTTATGTAAATCAAATGTATTAATGTTTCGTATTTTAAGTACGATTTCCGAATTGGAAATCTAAACATGAAAATAAGCTTATTTTAAAGTCATATTGTCCCTTATTCCCAATAAAAGTAATAAACTGCAATATGACACCACAACAAAAAAAGAGCTTCTTACAAATTTATTTGGCAACGTCAAGTTCTTAAAGTAAGGACACTATAGTAACGAGAAAAACAGTAGAGGTGAGTTGACGTATTTATCGTTAACGAAACTGAACCGCTTTTCGTAAACAAGTAACAAGTTGAAAAACTAATTAAAATATTTAACTGGTTGATTATTTAACAGTAGTTTCAAAGCGAGTACATAAACAAACATGCTTTCTTGAATCAAAGAAAAATATACTGAAATACTTTCATCAACTTATCAAATTTTCTGTAATTGATTTATAACTAAGTTTTTCTTTGCAAATATTGCATACAGCCTTCTTACTGTTAATGTGTTTCTCAAAGTGATGCCATAAAATACTAACATCTTTACGCGCAGACATGTTAAACACACAATTAGTTAATAAAGTAAATATTCAGTACTCACAGAATAAATTCACATTTACGTTAGACAAAACAAAACTCCAAATAAAAATTATGTTTGCTGAATAATATAAAACGTGAATCAGGGACTCCCATGTGTTAATATTTCAAATTAAAAATAAGCGATCATTGCAAAATTCAGAAAGTTGAGCATAAAAGCTTCATGTGCATTTTTTGAAAATACATTTATTACGCTTGTACTAGGTAAATGATTTAAACTAAGAAAAAGATTTCTTCAGTGATTATTTACAATAAATAAATCCTTTAACGAACTATCAATAAAGATTTTAGCTTCAAAACAACATCAACTAGTTGGCTTCCCAGTGAGAAACCGTAGATTCGATAACGATAAATAAACGGTTGAATAAAACAGTTCGGTGATTCTACGCTCATCTCTACAGAACATAACATAACTAGTGATATGTCATGCGTATATTACGGTTTATACCCTAGTAACACACGACGTCCTATGGACGTCCAATATACGTCCAGTTTTGGTCCGGACGTCCCTGGACGTAAAATGGACGTACTATGGACGTACGAAGTGGGACGTACGTTGGGTGTACTAAATATGGACGTTCTCTGGACGTCCGTACTCGGACGTTCCCTGGACGTCCATACTCGGACGTTCCCTTTACGTCCGAACTCGGACGTTTTCTGGACATCCGACATTTACCAATTATGGGATCAAATAGCAAATATTTGAATAAAATTAAAAATTATTTACGTTAATAAAATAATTAAAAGCGAAAAGGTTAAATCACAATTAATTAAAAATTGTATAGTTTAATATATCCAAAACATGTTTTTGTTTTTAGGTAAAGTGTAAAAATATTTTATTTCTAGATAATTCGTTACAATTGTTTTATTATTCTAGTTATCAAGATAATAATATATATGTTTGCTAATTCTAATAAGTAAAAATATGATTTTCATCGACAAGATGAATCTTGATAATCTTTTCCACAGAATAATTGTCTCTTTTGTCTTTTCAAAGAAAAAAAATGTCAATTTTTGAGACTCTTTTATTTATTAAAAATAGGTATCTAAAAATGTATCTACTGCTGAAATAAAACAAAGTTCCATATTAAGTATTGATCTTTTTCATACTTATGATTTCAACTTTAAAACTCAACAATTGACTTGTCTGCTTTTAATTACCGACCACACACTTGTAAGGTAAATGAGAATGGGAATGGATAAGGGAAGCTGAATGGTTCTGTTTTTAGTGAGCCACAGTTTCAACGATTTTGCCAATTTCTTTAGCAGTATTCACAATCCTTCTTTCTCCTGTGTAGACAAGTGTAGTTAAAGATCCAATATCAGTCACAGCCATATTTACTCTTTAACTATTAAAATTTGTGACATTCTAGCATGCTTACAGTGTCTTAATACCAATAAAGGTCTTGGTCCAGATGGAATATCGTAACTTATTTTTAAGGAATTGTGCATTCTTTTTATGTAGGCCTCTATAGCTTATTTTTTATAAATATCTGAGGGTCACTTTTCATCACAATTTATTTATTGATTTTATCCATTGATTTATCCATTAACTCATTGATTCCTAATTATCGTTCAATTATAATTCTTTCTACTATTCCTAAAATTTTCGAGGCTTTTCTGACTGATTTTTTGACAATAAATCTGAAGAATCAGCTTCATACTGGTCAGCATGGTTTACTTACTGTCTAGTTATTCAACTTCTACTAATTTACACTTATTATGTTATAATTGCATTAAAAAACATTTTTTATGTCGATTAGATTTATACTGACTTGTCGCATCTACTGTTCTTGCAAATTGTGTAGACCATATTCTTATTCGGGTATGATCAATTTCTTGAATCTGGATTCTCTATCAAAAGTGTTACCTTTTAATCTTTATTTTTAAACTTGTTCATAAAATAACCAATCTCCTAGCTTCAGCTAGTTTGTTTTAATATCCCTTCCATTCACTGTGTCAGAATTTATATTTCCATGTTCCTTACCGCAGAACTAATTATGATCCACACATAGATATGGTCTGAAACTTTTGTATCAATAGGTTTAGGTACTATTTGAAGCACTAAAATGCTAAATGAAACTTTTTATAAATGTGTACCTATTTATTCATGTATATTTTATTTTTATCTGTAATTTTGTGTATATTTCGATAATGTTCTATTTTTGTATAATTTTGACAGTGGATTTGTCCCATTTGTTAATAATAAATAAATGTAACAATAAATGTAAGTTCCTTTAAACATTTACGTTTTATTTCCCAAAATACATTCTTAATATGCACAGGATGACACCACTTATAGTATTTTATACAATGGCGTTGACGTCTAATTTATATCCTCAGCACTAAAATAGACGTCCGAGAACATCACAAAAGTCCGTCAAGTATGTCCTCCGGACGTATTATGGACGTCCGATTAAGGTCCAATTAACGTCCCGGTACGTCCAACTAACGTCCGCTCGGGACGTAAAATGGACGTCCATAGGACGTTCGGCGCAGCGACATTCGGACCAATATAGGACGTAAAACGGACGTAAATAGGACCAAATCCTTAAAGTCCGTGAGGGACGTACTATGGACGTCCACTGTACGTATGTGTGCTATAAGGATAGTAAGTTGTTCTTTAATAAAGCATAATAAATAAACACAAACAGTCAGTAAATTAGTACTAGTAAAGCGTTAGGAACGAGCAGGTGTATTGTATTAAATTTAAACTGGACGAAAAATTACGTCTTTTAATTAAAAATAAGATATTTTGTATTTTCCAAATATCTTTGAAACTATATTTTCGTTTAGATCTTTTGGAGGAAGTAAGTGTGAAAATAATAATTAGTTCTATAAAAATGAAACAAAAAAAATAAAATTTGTATAAAATTTGTTCTATAAAAATGAAATCAAATAAAAAATAATTCTAACACTACTGTTTAAATTTAAACTAACTCCAAACAATTAAAAATTCTAAACCAAATTCTTAGGTAATTGAATGTTTAAACAGACCACCAAATTCTAACGAACAGTAACCAAATCTATTATACAAAGCATTCCTCATGGCGTTGAGTTCATCTGCCAATATTTTGGCTAAGTTGGATTATCTTTTCCTTTAGTTTCTCCAGGCCTATTTTCAAAAGCCATAATAAATAAATTGATAGTTTCTTGTACTGAATTGCCCCCAAAGTACCATTTTATTATTTGTACCCCTTCTTCTCTTGAATAAACAGTCGGCGTATTTATTTCTTATCTTCACACTTACAAAATTACCTCCAAAAACATAGACATAGCATAGCATAGCTGTCGGCCTGTCTCGTCTCGACAAATATCGATGTTGCCAAAATTATGTTTTATTATCCAAAATTGGGTTACAATTTTGTCAAATAAAAATGTGAATCTGTAAATTTTTCATGGATTTAAGAAATTTTGCACCAGTATTTGTGTCAATTAATGTTTCATTTTTAATTTCATTTTTAACCCTGCCTCTGTTTCTTAAGTATAAGCTAAGTTGGATCGGAAATAATCGTGTGGCGTTCCTTATTGGGCGTGTATAAAAAATGTGGAGGGGAGACCTAGGGGAAATATATTTGTTTTCTTTGTATATTCGCTGAAAATATGATTTTACATCTGTGTTAAATATCCTGTTAAATTCTACCATACCGACCATAAACTTTTAACTAGTTCTCTTGTAAAGAGGCTTCTGAAATTGTAGTAGGTAAATGTTGGTTTAAGATTTTTACACCAGATGATTTAAAAATAAAAGAACGTAAAATAGTCATTATCGCTTTAATTTTACCATTATAACTTATTACACTCCAGTGGTACCACTGAAGTGTAATAAGTTGATACTGGTACACAAAAAATCTTAATCGTAATATTATTTTTCTAACAACCATCTAGTGGTTGGTTTCAGTTGATTTGTCTTTTATTAAAGTCTAAATTTTATCATTTTAGGTAATAATAAAGGAAAATCAACACTTAGTTTTCGTGAACACGCCTTATCTTCAATCGGGTAGTTCATCGTTAAACCTCGCACAATCAACGACAGATCCTCACGCAAGTATTTTTAAGAAAGATACTGCAGCTGTGGTAATCTTCCAACCAGATATTCAAAGACAAGTGGAGTTTGCATGCAGTGGATTTGGAAATAAGGAGTTCAATGGGTTTGCTGGACAGTTTATTGTTAATTATGATGTAAATAGGGTAAATGAAGGCGGAGAAGTAAGTGTTAAAATGGATACTACATTTAAGGGATAAACACGTTTTATATTGACTGGGATAAAATATAGGAGGGCGAGAAAACATTGACGTCAGCAAGGCCTTTATACAGTGCTAGTTAAAAGTCCGTCCCCCTCTAGTGTGTTTTAAACGGTTATACTTATAATAGTGAAATTTTGAGGTAGGTAATAAACATACGTAAGCTTTGATGGATTCGACCGTAACTTAATGGAAATTCATTTTATATAACAATAAAACACTGAAAACTTTGTTTTCAAATTTCCACAAAATTTATTTTAATCTCTTATCACTACAGCTGTTTCGGCTGATTGCCTTTCTCTAGTGATCTATTTTTAGCATGCGTTTACATGTTATAGTCTATAATGAAATAGATTGAGGAGGGGAGAACTGTTTGTCTCAAGTTGGTCATTCTGTGGAATGACTTGGAATTATATCTGTGTTTTTTAATTTGTTGATTTCCATAGATTCTAACATGGATAGCTTAAGGCCTTTATTTTGAATGTGAAGAATTTTAAATTCGTCATTAAAAGAATGATTGTGATTTAGAAGGTGAAGTGCGTTTGTAGAATCTGTTTTTCTATTATTGAAAGCCCTTTTATGTTCTGCTATTCGTTTATTAAAGTTTCTACCAGTTTAACCGATGTAAGTTTTTGGGCAGTCGCCACAATTAAGTTTGTACACACCACTGTATAAGTGTTCTTGTTCGGAAAGCTGGTGTTATTCCTTTCTTTTTTATGTGTTTGGCTATTTTAGTTGATATTTTGCCTGTATATGTAATCGAGCAGAAGGTACTGGTTTTTTCTCTGGTGGTGGAAATACTAATTTCAGGGCTTTCTTTTGTAGTTTTTGATTTAACATTAGTTTTTACAGATAGTCTGGACAGTTTGCAAAGAATAATGTCGCGTATATCAGATATAAGTAGAGAACACGCACTTGATCTTAATACGAAGAAAACAAAGTACATGGTAGTCAGTAAGCGCAAAATATTAAATACACAGCTTTTGGTTAACCAACATCCAATTGACAGAGTAGACAGCTACACATATCTTGGTACCAACATTAACAGCCAATGGGATCACTCCAGTGAAATAAAACAACGCATAGGAAAAGCGAGAGCAGCGTTCATAATGATCAAGTCTCTTTTCAGAAGTCACGATTTACCACTTGCTACCAAAATCTCTCTCATTGGAAGCTATATATTTTTTACGTTATTGTACGGAGTAGAGGCCTAGACACTTTCCGAAGCTTCTTTAAGAAAACTCGAGGCATTCGAGATGTGGTGTTACAGATGTATTTTAAAAATTTCATGGATGGATCGTGTGACTAATATTGATGTCCTACGTAGAATAGTCAAGTAATGCGAGATTATAAACACCATCAAAGAGCGCAAACTAGAATATCTTGTCCATGTTATGAAGAATAAACAGAGATACAGCTTGTTGCAACTTGTTCTTCAGGGCAAGGTATTTATAAAGAGAGGATCAGGGAGAAGAAGAATATCTTGGCTTCAAAACCTGAGAAAGTGGTTGAATACATCGATAACCGGACTATTCAGAATAGCGGCAAGCAAAGTTAGGATAGCCATGTTGATCGCCAACATCCGGAACGGATAGGCACCGTAAGAAGAGGAAGAAAAAATGCAAAACTACCATTATCGTATATACCTATTCAATCATACTAATTTTGTTTGGATTTAAGATGTTTTGCTGGTTTCATAATCATCACCTTTAACAAATAGGGATCGAAAGTAGTCTACCCATGTTTCCTTCTGGATGTGTTTCGTTTTTATTAGTTCGTTCATCTCTTTTCTTTGTCCTCTGATCATTCCTTATATTTCTTTTTGTGTTCCGTAGAAGTTGTGTTCCATCTGTGTTGAGAAGCTCTGCCAGTGTTCCCTTTTTATGTGTCTAACTAAAGTATTCGTTTCATTTCTGATTCGTTTATAGTGTTTGTATGCCTGTTGTGTTTGTTGTGTTCTGTAGAGGCTTTCTTCTTTTCCTTACATTTCGACTTAACCATGTAGGTCAGGAAAATAAGCAAAAAAAGTACCCTCTTTTTGACACTCGTCCGGCTAGGCAAACGACAGTTGTTTTGAGTAGTATGGACCTATGTAACAAAAACCTATATGTTTCCTACAGTCGATTTTTTGGACTTAATTAGTTATTAACAAATTAAGGTCAAAAAACGGAAAATTTTTGCTTTTTTCGTCTATCAGCAAAAAGTGAAACATTTTAAACAAATTTTAAAAGATAAAAAACTTATAAGTTATATAAAAACCTTTAAAATGGCGTTCTCTAAATGTTTCTATCCTTATTATTTGCTTAAGAAGTTGCAAAATAATTAAAAAATTTCGGTTTTTTATAAATGGTAATAACTTTTTAAAAAATAAACTTATAACATTTATATTTCATGGAAGGCTGTGTCTAATAGTGCTTAAAATATGATTAAAATTTTAAAGTGATCGGTCAAATAGTTCAAAAGTTATTTTATTTGTTTGTCCCAAATTAACATTTTTTGCAATAATATAAGTCAGAAAATTATACAGTTTTAGTAATTATAAGGGTGGTTTCTGGAAGAAGAAGACTTGTTTTATTATAAAGATTAAAAAAAATTAAGAAAATTAATTTTAAATATTGCAAAATAATTTTGCAAAAACATGTCGATTTTTTGCTTATAAACAATTAGAATAACTTTTTTACCATTGATTGTATGAATATTATTTTTTATATTTGTCCTAAAATAATTTGGGACAAAGTTAGCCCCTTTTTTTATTTAATTCATAGCATCTTTGATTATAACACTTAAGAAATCTAATAAGCGCTATTTGAAAGAATAGACTTTATAGTTTTAAAGTAATAAATTTTAAAAATATTGTTCCTTAATGAAATTGTCCACAAAGCTTCAAAATGTGTGTAAAATCGGCCGTCTTTGAAACTCGCGGGAGCTGAAGGGATGGGGCAGGCGCAGTTAGCTGTATCTCTGTTCTTTTTTATGTATTTCAACGTTTCTTTTTAAACTTGTATGTACTTTTTGCGTACATTACGTATATGCATTATTTCAATAAATAAATTGTCAAATAAACCACCTAATTTGTTTAAAAACAATTTTTTTTTCATTTTTTTTTTTAGTAATATTAAAGATAAGTTTGAATGTAAAACAGAAATATTTATGATTAATGTATACTTCTTTAATAAAATTGTAAAAAATTTATAAATAATTTGATATAAATAATGTTAGAGTAATTTCTGTCTATCTATATAAATCTATATAAATTTATCAATATATTTTCTACAATATTGTAAGTAAATCTAATCTAATACATCTACTTTTTTTAATACAATAATTGCAATTATTCAAATATACTGTTACGAACATGCTTTCGGCATGGCCTATGTAACAGTTGCATCTCGAAATGGCTTCGAGATCCATCCACACACAGATCTCTCGAACGCAAGAGACAATCTCAATCGGTCACGTACGCGAATTAGAGGTGGGAACTTTCTAGAACATAGCAACTTTGGTATATATGTAACGATATTAGGAGTTAGTTTGGTTGATAAGATAGTACCGAACTGTAAAGTTATAAATAAATATATTTATATAAATTCGAACCGCTCGTTTTATTTAATCTCGCTACAATACATTCAAAGTTCATGTTATTCACAAAATGAAATTTTTACATGTTGTAAGGGACTCCCCTAGTGTCGAATAAATTCCATTTGTTGGACTATTTTGTTTGGTTAATTGAAAGAAATGATTACAATATTTCAAAACTATACTGAAGACAACAATTCGAATTCACAATGAATTCAGAAAGGAAAGGAAAGAGATAATTAAGAGGGAAAGTGTACAAAGGTATAGTTTTATTTTTATATGTTCTCTCCTTCTTTCGTTCTACTTTTTCAACTTTAAATTAATTACTAGGATTATATTACCATTAATTTAAAAGTATACCTAATAATTTTTTCAAGACAATCCTAATAACTAATATTGTTCTGAAGCTGTTTTCTTTTGGCACCTTAATGCCATTTCCCATATTTTGGGAATAAGCCACAATTTAAGTTTATAATAAGTTTATTTTTGACGTTTTGATTTCTACTTCGTAAATCTTTCTCAAAATACACAACATTAATAAATGAATAAAATTTTGTTTTTGGTTACTTGGTAGAAAATTTTCTGATAACTCTTCTGGGTGATTAATTAGTGTGAGGAAGCTCAATAGATCTGTTGTAGTAAAAATTACAAAAAAAATTTATTGAAAAATTGTAGGCAGATTTAAACTCCATATTTTAAACTTAGTTACCAGCTTACAGGGTGCTCCATAAGATTATGGCAGACCAAACTTATGTTTTTTTTTAAGGGAACACCCTGTATTTTATTTTAAATTTGTAAATTTGAAATGCTTCACTGACTGAAATATGACATGTTATATTTCCCTATACTATAATATGTAATACAATAAAAAAATAAAAAAAAAACAATATACCTATAGAAAAAATTTCTGCAAATAATTTATTAACTTTATTTTGTAGTATACCACTTTTAGCAAGAAATAAAACCTAGTTAATGTAAGATTTCCAAAGCCATACTATTTTTAGAAAAAATTTAATAGGATAATTTGTTGGTTTCATAAAAACTAATATAAATAAATTATTTACAATTTTATTAAAGAAGTATAACCTAATCATAAATATTTATGTAGTCAAATAAAAATTATCTCAAATATTACAATAAAAATTTGAAATAAAAGTGTTTATACAAATTAGATAGTTTATTTTACAATTTATTTATTGAAATAAGGTTTATTCGTATTGTACTCAAACAGTACATACAAATTAAGAAAAGGAACGTCGAAATCCATAATTAAGAACCAGATATACAGCTAACAGCCCTTCCCCCTCCCTAAGGCTTCCGTGAGTTTTGATGCCAGCCGATTTTCAGGACCACATTTTGAAGCTTTGTGGACGATTTTATTAAAGGACAATCTCTTCAGAATTTGGTACGTTAAAACTATAAAGTATTTGCTTTAAAATAATGCTAATTAGATTTCTCAATTATTATAAACAAAGCTGCTATAAATTAAATAAAAAAAGAGGCTTACTTTGTCACAAATTAATTAAGGGCAATTTTTTTTTTATTTTAAATTTGTAAAAAAATTCAGGCCTTCTAAATATAGAAAAGTAATATTTTGCAGTCAATGGTGAAAAAGTTATTCTAATTGTTTATAAGCAAAAAATCGACATGTTTTTGCAAAATTTTTTTGCAATAGTTAAAATTAATTTTCCCAATTTTTTTATGTAGATAATAAAACAAGTCTTCTTTTTCCAGAAACTATTTTCATAATTACTAAAACTATATAATTTTCTGACTTATATTGTTGCAAAAAGGTTTATTTCGGGATAAACAAATAAAATAACTTCTAAACTATTTGACCGATCACTCTGAAATTTTAACCATATTTTAAGCACTATAAGACACAGCATTCCATGAAATATAAATGTTATAAGTTTATTTTCAAAAAGGTTATTAACATTTATAAAAAGCCAAAATTTTTGAATGATTTTGCAGCTTAATAAGCAATAAATAAGGATAGAAATATTTAGGAAACGCCATTTTGAAGGTTTTTATATGACATGAGTTTCTTCTCTTCTAAAATTCGTTTAAAATGCTTCACTTTTTGCTGATAGACGAAAAAAGCAAAAATTTTTCGTTTTTTGACCTTAATTTGTTAATAACTAATTAAGTCCAAAAAATCGACTGTGGGAAACACATAGGTTTTTGTTACAGAGGTCCATACTCCCCAAAACAACTGTCGTTTGCCTGGCCGGACGAGTGTCATGAAAAAATGCTTATTTCTCTGGGCTAATGATGTTTTCTTTTTTGATATATTAGTGTTCGTTACTTTCATATCTCCAAGTAATTCTGTTGCTGCGTTAATTATGTTATTTTTAAGTTTCCCCAGTTTTCCTCAATGTTATTTTTTTCTAATATTTCAAACAACAAGGGAAGCGTTTTATGACCAATTATAAAAGAACTAGATCAAGTCAGAGGGAAGATGATAATATTGAGGGATTTTAACGCTCGAATAGGCAATCATGTAATACGTGGAATTAAGCAAAAACATAACGAGGATCTCAGAAACGAAAATGGAGAATTGATGGTAAACTTCTGCACGAATAACAAATACAGACAGTTGTCAACCCGAATTTTGAAGACGCGTTTAACTAGCAAGATCAGCAATGACTGAACTAAACGGAATCTGGCATGATCGTCACATTATTATTACAAACAAGAAAATACTCGTTTCAACGTATTTTCCACATTTTACTGTGCATGTGAGAGATGGGCGATTTTGAAATGTGGACATGAAGACGAGTGCTTCGAATTCCATTGATGGCTTGCCGTACGAATATGTCGGTTCTAGATGAAATTAAACCCAATCAGCATCTCTCTAGTACTGTTTACTCTAGAATTTCAAAGTTATTTGGTCATACGTATCGAAGTGATCACAAACGGAGCGCTTGGTGGAACAAGGAAGGCTTTACAGCTAACTCCGATGGAGCGAATCTCCACATTGACATACCCAGTATATCTTCACAATATACTAAGGCAGTCTATGTAACAGATGACCACGACCATTGGAAAAGTATCATTGATCAGACTAATGATGAACCACAACACATCTGTCAAGATTTTAATGACTAGCTCTGTTGATGATGATGATCTCTGTTAATGATGATGATTGGGAAGATGTCAATGATGATATAGGAAGAAATTAACAGCAACATTTACAGTACCAATTTGTTTCGTGAGAAAATTAGAAGCCTTTTGATAATCTCACCCAAAAAAATCGAGTAAATCAAGTAACTTGAAAATACGTCTAAAATGGTCATAAAAACAGTCTTTAAGATATTATAAGTTTAGTATAGTTATAAGTTTTAAATACAAGAAAGTTGAAATGTTACAAATTAAAGCATTGTATATTTTTATCATACAGTATGCCGTATATATCAATCAAAGTATCTAATCATGATCTATTTTTAGGTACTCTATCAAGATAATTTCTTTTTTATTTCCTTCGCACCAGAAAACTTAGATCCCATCCCCAAACATATGGTTTTTGTACTTGACACCAGTGGAAGTATGTACGATTTTAAAATTGCGCAGCTTAAGGATGCAATGTTAAAGATTTTACCCCAGTTGAATGAAGAGGATGTCTTTACTATCATTCAATTTGAATCGAATGTTTACGATTGGGATACATACAATAATAAAAAAGATGTGTTTAATTCCATGAATCCGGAATACCTGCCTTATGGAAGCTTGGCTAGTCAGTTCCCGGTAAGCAGTAGTAGGGATGGGAAAAACTTACCGGTTTTAACCGAAAACCGGTTTTTTACTTCGCAATAACCGGTTTTATCGGTTGTTTTTTTGTCCCGGTTATAACCGGTTTTTTATGTTTAAAGTAAAAACCGGTTATTAGGTTTTTACAGTGATTAGGTAAGGTATTATTTTGGATCCCAGTCATAATTATTATTCTCAAGTAATTATTTCAAACAAAACCATAATTCAAATTTTATTTTATTGTATAAATCAAGAAGCAAACTTAAAGTGCAAACTCACATCAGCCAGAAACAATTAAGTTTTATTATAATATATCGTTGAAAAGGTAAAATATTATATACTTACATAAGAAACATCATATATTTTTCACACTTGACTCTTGACATTGAAAGTGGGTGAAGGGCTTTTGCTGATTACCAAAAATAATGTTCTGACTATAAGTATCGAATTACTGATTACGAATACGAATCTCCAAGGATTTCCCTACGTTTTCAAAATGACAGGAAGTAATAAATGAGTTAAAATGTAAAATAAAAGATGAATTGCATTATCCAATTTATTTTTAAGTAAATTATTTGTGTTGATTTGTGTTATTTTTTTAAATCCCATTTGAAAGAGTCTGGTAAATTTTTTATAAATTGCAATGGTTGAGGAATTTTTTGAGTTTGGGAGGAGGGGAAAATTGGTGGATATTTTAAAGGATTATATTTTTAAATGGTAAATTAAATTTGCATCAATAATTGAATACGATAATTGCATATTATATTCTACTCTCATAATATATTCAATGACAATATATAATAATAATAGAATAATAAATAAATCTAATAATTAATAGAATAAAATGGTTTTATTAAAAATTGTGTCTTTATATTGATATTGATGTTTTTTCGATAGTACTAATTTTGATAATATTGATATCGAGTCGAATGAAGTATCGCAAACTAAAGTGCATTGTAAATGTAACTTTGTAACCTATTGGAATAAAAAAACCGAAAAACCGGTTTTTGGAAAAACCGGGTTTTTTTGGCCGGTTATAACCGCCATGTTAAACCGTAAGCAAAAAAAAAAACGGTATAACCGAAAACCGGTGTTTTGTCAAAAACCGCCATCCCTAAGCAGTAGTATTCCAATAAATCCATTTAAATTATTCAAAGTATTTAAAATGTTTTTTTATTTAAAACAGATAGTTAGGTCCCCTTTTGAAACAATTTACCAAGAGCGCAAATATGTATATAGGTAAAGACCAGAGTGTTAGTTTAAGTTTTAAAAAACAAGTACCTGTGCCACTAGTAGTAAACCTGAAAAAATATCACGCAAACCAGCAGAATTGTCTAAGAGAAAGAGTGAGTTTATACGTATATGAAGCAAGACGCTTAAATTTTGCTCTCCAGAATCGTCAAAGATTTGTCTCACTGATGTGATATGAAATTAATTATAATCATAGAATGGAATACATTCAATAAAACCGTAATTGTTGTATTGTAGCCATAATTAAGCCGATCTTCCTCATAGAGTACTTCATACACGTATATAACGACTTCCATATACTCCGGAGCTGTTACTATTTCTGATAAAGGAAACGACCGCTACAGTGGTCACCACTAAGATAGCAATGTAAAGCGAATACTAACTTGTATGTTAGTAATGTTAATTTAAATGAGCTGTATTTAGTAAATACTATTTTATTTTGCCATTTTATTAATAAGAAGAGCGCTTGAATGATGGGAAGAGAAATTAATTGATCTCATACGACTGGTTAAAAATTAAAGTCAAATATTTGGTCTGTATTTAAACATAGTAAGACAAAGATCCTGCTAGTGGATAGACTACATAACAATCATCCACACATAAATACAATTGGCCGGTTTAAGCGTGTGAATTCAAACTTATATCTGGGATCATTGATCACAAACACAGGGTCACTACAGGAAGAAATTAAACGTAAATGTGATCTAGCAAAAGTCGCCATAAAAAAATTAATGTCACGAACTCTAAAAATGATGTTTATCAACTGCTTACTATTCCCAAAACTGACATACGGATGTGAATCTTTTACCCTACAACAAGCAACAATAGGACACATAGATACTATTGAGTTAAATATTAGCAAAATACAGGAAGGTGCAAAAGACCTACCCATGAGTTAAAAGAGAAAATATCTTCGGAGGCGATAAAGAGAGAGAGAGAGAAAGAGAGAGAGAGAGAGAGAGAGAGAGAGTGGTTTTAGTTTTACATACAAAAACATAGTATATGATAATAGTCGAAAAACAAGAGAAATATAAGTAATTGCAGGTTGAAATGTTTAACATGTCTTATTAAAAACTAAGAAGAATATAAATATTTAGTCAGCATATCAATTCAAGGAACATCAGAAAGATACAAAGAGTAAACATTTCAGCAAAGAAGAAAATGCGCAAGAATTCTCAATTCACTTCCTCAAATCGCATCACAATGAAAACAAAATTATACCGATAGAGTAGAAGAAGTATGAAGTAGAAGAGCAGTAGTAGAACCAATACTAACATATTAATTTATTAGATTAACATATTTATTAGATTAATTTTTGATGTTTGCCTTGTTTTGATGTTTCTTTAGATTGATACCATTTTAACGCTACAGATCTTTTAAAGATGAACTAATGATGCTCATTAAATAGTGGGCAAAACATCTCCTTTAAATAGATAAAGTAGCACAACTCTTGTCTTTTTTATCTCCAAATTGACCGAAAACTTCCCATTTACTTACGAGTGGACTATATATATATATATATATATATATATATATATATATATATATATATATATATATATATATATCGCAACAAGGAGTACGACCGTCTATCCAATATATAATAAGGATCACTCAGATGAGTGGTGGGTTCAAATATCGGTCTACTAGGTGAATAAATAAAAGACAAAGTTGATACTACTTCATCTATTTTGAAGACGTTTCGCTATCGAATTCTGATAGCATCATCAGTTCATCTAAAAATTTTACATTATGAGAACCACACATTCATGAAGAAGATGTTACATAGTTACCTTAAAAAGACATGTAGTTGTCAATGGTATTAAAAAGTTAGTACAAAAACTCAAATAAATGGACATCATATGGTGATATTGTATAAACAATCAAATAACTAACAACATTAGTAAACAGAGACTTAGTAAAAATTAGCAAAGCAACAGAACACGTGGTCTAATCTACATATAATATTTTATATAATATTAACTAGTGAACAAGAACTAAGAAAATCATCGATTCACTTTCAACTATGCAAAAATTATTTTATGACTTTATCTTAACTTTTGGTAGCATTATTTAAGTTATCTACATTGAGATATAAAAAATATATATATATATATATAATAAATATAAAGTGAAGTTACCACTGTATGCTTGGCACCTGTTGCGGTTGAAATGGCGTTAATTCAAAGATACCGAGCCAATGACAAGAACAGACAGCCAACCTTTAGGTCGAAAATTCTTCGACAGAACAGCAAGGTTAAGAATACCAACCCACTAATTTAAGGGTGGTATATTTGAAAAAGTTAACACGAGTTTGAATGATACCCGCCCGTAAGAGACCAAACAATGAAAGAAATTAGCGATAACGTTAATCCCCTGCATCAACCAGTCTAGAACAAACAGGTAGGCAAAATTCATTCAACTTCATATATAAAAGAGTGAAAAAACCGTCAACATTGTAGTTGGATATACATCTACAGGTGAATGACGATAAGCACCTAATTTCCAAAAAGTCCAAGGTCCCACGCTAGGAACTTTAATTTGTAAGGTATTCTAAGAATGAATTGCATTAATTTGTATTAAAGTAAAAAATCAGAAATTCACATTAATCAAAGTATGAAAAACGACAGAGTATGCAATGTGAGTTGCATAAGTAAGTCTAAGTTAATTGACATTATTGTAATATTATTTTTTATCAAAGTATTAATTATAATAAGTAAGAGTTTTAGAATTATTTAATAAACAAATGTGTTAAATTGTACGACTTTAGAGACACACACACATAATGAACTGATTGTAAAGCCTAATTCTGCAAAATTAAAGCATGATATATTTGGCTCAAGTTACTTATGTCAGTTCTCTTATTTAAAGCATTAGGATGTTTAAGAATAGAACACATTTCTAAGAACTGTCTTTTACCAAGATTGCGCTCAGTGCCAAGAATTTTGACTTCATTGAAATCCACCTTATTACAATCAACACGCGATTAACACCAAACATAAGTGATCCTTACTATATAACATCTATACTATATAACATCATCATACTATATAACATCTGAGTGATCCTTATTATATATATATATATATATATATATATATATATATATATATATATATATATATATATATATATATATATATATTCATATGAACTTTACACATTGCAGTTTTATATTAAAAAAAAAAAATAATGGTAATAATAATAATAATAAGAAAATACCAACATAGAATATATATAAAAATAAAATGATTAAGTCGAATGTTAAAATCTCATGCCTTGGGAGTGAGTTGGTGGATTTCTTGAAGACTGCCAACGAACTTGGTGGCTGGACACTCGAAGACGATGTGGTTAATTGTTTGTTCACCAGCACTACATTTGTCACATCCCGGACTCTCATTTATACCCCACTGGTTCAGAGACTTATTACAGACTCCATGACCAACTTGTATTGCACCGTTTACTACGAGGAAGAGAAAAGCCGTCTGATTTAATTGTAGGGTTTTCTATGAGATTAGCATTTCTGATATCTGGATTCCATTCGCCCATTCAGTGCTCCTCAGTAGTGAAATCAGCAAATCTTGTAGCAGTTCTAGTAGGTGGATGTCTGGATTTCAGTCTTAACTCTCTTTGATCTAGCTCAGCGATGTCTTTATCGGTAGTGCTGGGTGTTGTTGACATTTTTGAACCAGGGTGTTGAGTGCGGCTAGTCGTCTTGTTGCCGGTGGAGCGATGTTGCTTAAAAC